TACCGTTAATTTCAATTGCATCATAAATTAACAAATAAAATATATTACATAAGTAAAATAAAACAATCTGGTTGTTATATAAATAATTATAGCCGTACCCTTAAGATTTATTAATTTGGAATGTACAAAATTCCAGCTCCCGCGGTATCTAATTTGTAAAATTAAATATAAGATTTGTTTAAGCATAGATATACCTATAGATGGAGTGTTTCATACAATTTTAACGTCTAATCGAAAGTCGATTTAAGGATATCAGTATGTACTCTACATGACAACACTGACAGAATTTGCCCCATCAAAAGTGTGACTGTTTTTTGCCTTACTTTCGTGCTTCGGGTTAGGAATCTATAGTTCATATATCTATGGTGAAAAGAAGTATTGTTTGTTTTCTAGTAAACGGTAAAATCATATTTAATAAGATATCTCTAATTAATTAACATTGTAAGTGCATCTGGCATAAAGACCTCAGATCAAAATGTCTTGACTAAATTTAATTCGATAAGCACTTAATCTTTTCAGTGATTCATCCTTTATAAATGAATATGTTTCAAAATACATTAGCTGTATAAATAAAAAGATCAAAGCAGGATATAAGACAGGTCCTTTATTTAACACTAGTGGTGGCACGCGACTCCGTCCGCGCGGAATAAAAATAACATAATTATTACCCTATGAGTTCTTTAACTATATTCTATATGTATGCCAAATTTAATCGAGATCCGTTCAGCCGTTCTTGAGATATGTACCTTCAAACAAATGTTCATCCATCCAAACATTCGCATTTATAATGTAAGATTTATCCCTTTCCTATTTGTCACCCTAATTACGTCATTATGTCTTATACAGTAATGCCTATATTCGAATTTATATACAACATTAAGTAGAGAATCGTTAAATATTTGAGTTTTCTTATTTGCAACTAATCTTTAGTAATATCACCATGTAATCCATTTCCACAAATAGAAAATAGATTTAATTTTATTACTCTTCTTCGTAAATCTTTAATAAAAAGTTATAAAACTACGATAACATTTAACCACATCAAAAGGTGATCGACCTACGTTCATACACAATCAAACAATAATATCATTCGTAGATAACGGAATTGTTTATAACAATACAGTTATTCTATACAAATAATAACCGTTTACATTTTACGCCTAATTGATAGGCAGTTAATTTTAATTAATTTTAAAATATTTCAATAATTCGTATCAAAGACAATATGCCGACTCTATTTGCATAACCGTTTGGTTTGATATCACATCTCTAGCACCTGTGTGCTAGAGATGTGATATCAATTCATCTGTATGAAAGCGAAGAAAAACAAAACATTGATTTGGTTCAGTATTCCCATATCTCAATTACCGTGGATTACTGAAACCAAAAACTTACTAATATTATAAATGCGAATGTTTAGATGGATGGATGGATGAATCTGTGTTTGATCTTCTGAACGGCTGAACGGATCTCGATGAAATTTGGGATACTTATAAAACATAGTTTGGATGACTAACCAAAGACGCTAGAAATTATGTTTTTTGTTAATTCCGAGCAGACGGAGTCTCAGGTGATCGCTAGTCTCTACATAAAAGTATCGTCATCTCAGTCATTATCTTCATAAAATAGAGATCGCAATATGTTTTTGGGAGTTAGATCTCAGAAATCTACAATTTTTCATTTGATGCATAAGTTAAATTTCTCATAAATTAACCAAATATTTGGCATACGATTATTTTAAGTTAGAGCACTGGCTACGTCATATTTTATTTAGCTTTGCTTAAAGCTAAATTATTGTATCAACGATATAAAAGGTTTTTCGGTGATTAATGATTTACCATTGCCATAACCTTCAAAATGCCTCATCGATGGCCGAGTATATTATGTATACATAGTATGTTAAGTATATATCTAAGTATACATACAAATAAATTCCAGCTTGATACCTTCACGCGTTTTTAAGAAAAAGAGTCTTGAAAGACAGACGGACGGACAACAAAGTGATCCTATAAGGGTTCCGTTTTTTTCCTATGAGGTACGGAACCCTAAAAAGAAGAAACTGAGTGATTTAGCAACGCACAATTCAAACTACTGGCCCTATTGTATGGTTTCGGGGAGGGAGCTACAATAAACGTTCTGAATTTTTGGGGTAGAGTTGCGTGGGATTTTTACTCACTTAAACCCCCTAGGTGGCCATCCTTAAGCGATTGCGTGGGATTTTAAGATCCCGGGACTAAAGAATCCACCGGGAACCTTCTGGGCTTGAAATGGAAAAAGATTTTTGTTACAATAACTAACTAACGAAACAAGTATTAAAAATTGATATTTTTATACATTTTATGGGATTAGCGAAAATATGTACTATGTTAGTTATATGTTGATTAGACAAGTCTTAAAGAGCTTAGTTAATTTTTTTTATATCATAAGGTGGCAAACGAGCGAACGGCCACCTGAAATCGCAGAAATAGCGAAGTGACGGTTGCCCATAGACATACGCAATTGCATATGCGTTGCCTACCTTTAATCGACGGAGGAGAGGATGCACAGAAAGAAAATATTTTCCCTTCCCATGCATCCTCTCATTCGGAAAGTCCACTTCCACTTCCCATCCTTTCCTTATAAGAAAAAGGGTGGGAAGGTAAAGATGACTAAATTAGGCCTCCGGGACGCACGCACACTCATCAGACGAAACGTGAAATTGCTTCCACTTCATGCCTGTCTTCTGTGTGGTGCTGGTTTGCTTCTGAAAAAGCGTAATTTATACGGTAGTCTCTATTCTCATTTAGTAAATTCAAAGAACACTATCATAACGAAAATTTGGAAACGTCTCGTCTCAGTTATTGATGTCTTCAGCCCCGATATGATACCTTGTTTTATTCTTAAGATACGATTCCACTTAGGACGAAGATAAACTCAAAATTAAATTATGTTACTCATTTGTTGTGATTTGTTCAATGTCGCGTGATTACAATTCTAAAAGCAAACTTTAAAATGGATTTGATATTCATTTAAATTACTTAAGTTATCTTAGAAACTAAGGCATTAATTTACAAAAAGTGACATCAAAAATTGTAAATCAATGATAAATATGTCTTGTTTTATTTAAACCTTCAAACTAATGTATGAGCTTTGAATCAACTTTTAAGGTAGTTTTTGTATGAATCGTATCTTCGCTTAGTACTAAAGTAGAGCAACTTCTATCACAAACTCCTATAACATCTTTGATTAGTTAGTAACTTAGTAAGATAGGCAATCTTACTAATTCCTGTGACAATAAGTATGTAAGTTCGTAAATTGCCTCTCTTCTTCTGCTTGAAAAACTAATGTTAATATTTTAAATTTAGCGCAGTTCTTTTGTTATCAAATCTTTATACCCTAATTCATACGGGCGCTTTTTTAACGCCGCGATTAAACACAGCGTTGGCTGCTCTCGAGCGACGAACGCCTACACTCTACTATCATTCGCCGAGCGCTCAAAATGTAACACTGTGCGATAAAAAGCGTCGCGTTTTAAAAGCACGCCGTGACGCTTGGATTTTTAACGCGTCGTAAAAAAGCGCCCGTGTGAATAAGCTCTAAGGTGTGACTAAAAGGATTTTGAATTTAAAACTCCTGTATTTGTTAATACTATAAGCTGAGATAAAAGACCCAAAGGTCCGGATGAGTTCACTTCGATATATTTGTTGCATTTTTTTTAATAAAGCGGACAAGTGGACATCATTAACCGCTGCCAAAACCAATACTTCACACATCGTATTAGAATGGTTATTCATGGCAACATTGTCGGAGAATAAAAAGTGTTCGAGCCGTCCCAATCCTTCCCCTCTCTCACTGTTCAGGTTTTTTTAACACCGTTACAAAAGGAAAAACCTGTCCGTTGATTCATACCTCCGTCACAAATATCGACAGAATACGCATTTAATAACTTACAACTGATATATTGTAATTATTGTTATAAAATTAAACGCATGTCTCTTACCCTTTACGCATATACGCGTGAAATGTTTTTGTTAACTTTTTGCTCGAGTATTTTCTATGGCTGATAATTACAAGCATATTTTTCATTGTATTTCAAAAGATGGATCAAAAATATTATGCTCTAAACACTAATAAATCGTTGTTTAGAAATAAAAGTTACAGTATCTCTAAAAATTTTTACGTATTTTAGTATCACATCTATGGTAGGCGAAAAGCAATTACTCCATCTCTCACTATTTCTCACTTAACATTAGTAAAAGCACTAGTGATTTTACTACTAGTAGTAGTAAGTAAATAGTACAACAGACACCGTTATTATAGATTACTCTCAGCAAAAATTAATAAGCTTAAAAAAAACAACACAAGGCAGCCAATACCAAAGAAACAATACTTAATTATATATGCTTAATGTTTATCTGTCAAGTTGTCCATCGCTGGACATAAGGCTCGCCCACGAAAGCTACAAAGAACTAACCCGCCCTTGCCTACTGGTCTCGTGACCTTGACCAAATAAATTAGACAAACTAAACAATGTGTATGTAAATTATTAATGACAAATATCTGTATAGATCTAGCAGTAGGTTTTTACTGCCGAAACATTTGTAAAAAACATATTACTATTTCTTTTGGAACATGTTTCTGTAGCTTCGATTGACTCAAAATTACGCTTTGTTTTTTATTTTCAAAAAATATATAGTCGCTACGTGAGTTCTTTATTGAAATTTTTCTATGAGAAATCAACACTAAACGACTGATTAATAAACCCTTAAATAATTGTGAGCGTAGCAATTACTTAACGTAATTATTCCTTAAAATACTAACTAGTAACATTTCTTAACAAAACATCAACGTGCTTTACAACAAGTTAATCAAATAAAGCTTAAAAAAAATTACAGTTCAAGTGGGATATTTTTCTTCCTCGGCTCGTCTTAGAAAGAGTCACCTTAGTTCGATATAATAATAATAATGCGGCATCGAAAAGCGAGGTCATTGTGTTGGGCGGCACATACGCAAAATGCAAGGCGTCCTCGACGCAGGATACTTCCTATAAAATGTGGAGCGACCCCTTGTGACCACAGTATCGAGCTGACCACGGCCACAGAAGGACACGAACATGAAGTTGGTGAGTCCTTGGATTTCTTTAAAAAATATATTGCGAAATAAGCAAATATAATTCAAAGATAAAAAATTTAAAAACATTTTCGAAGGGATTAAATTAAAATAATTTTGAAGTCACAGATTTTGGATGGATATTGTTTTATAAATCGTATTAAAATTTAAAAATTAAATAAAACTTAGATTTTTGAAAATTCGATCCCATAATGCATACATTTTTGCTTAAAAGTGTCTTTTTGCCAGATTATTTATTAAAACCATTAAAACAAGCATTTAATTTAATTCTTTTAACATTAATTTAATTTGTGTTATAGCATAATATTAAAAATTAATAATTTAATTTTAATCCTCAGGTATTTATAACCGCCGCCTTTTTGGCGCTGACATTTGCTTCCGAAGAACCAGAAGCAAATTTCGAGGATCAAGATGTTTCAGCGACCGAGGAACTATTTAAATATGACCAAGTAGCAGCACAGTCTGGTGTTAGGAATAACTTTGCACAGTACTACCAGCCAACAGCCGCGCCTCCGCCCTACGTTCCTCCGAGCCAGACGCCACAGAGACCTTGGAACCCTTCCCCTAGTAACTACATACCTTCACAAAGCACTCCCACTCAAAATTTTGGTAACTACGTACCCACCAGTACTCCAATTCCAGTCAGTAACTACGTACCCTCCCAAAGTACAGTAAACATTCCCACTAGTAGTAACTACATACCTCCCACCCAGAGCTATTACCCAGTCCAAAATGATCCGCCTCAGAACACATGGAACCAGAACCAACAACAAGGCAACCACGGCCGTCCACAGAACAACTACGTGTCCCCACAGAACTCATGGAACAATAACAATTGGCAAAACAACAATTGGAACCAACAACAGCAACCACAACAACCTCAACGACCACAGCAACCACAACCAGTGCCAACCACAACCACCACATCATCGACACCGACTGTAGCTGTGATCAAAAATGAACAATCCTATGGAGAAAATGGCAGCTACAAATACGAGTAAGTTTTTGCACAATAATTTTTTTCATCGTAAATTTTTGTACAATAATCATAAAATTGTGTACATTAGATTATAAATTCCTTTTTATAAAAGTTAAATTCAAACATTAATGGCACTGAAATTAATAACTAAAAGGTAACCCTCAATTTAAACTTTTTAAAACAGAAGATATAACAGTGTTAAAGATAAGAAATATTATAAAATGCATATATAGCGTATTCGATTAATTCCGTCAAAAAAATAAAAATGAGCCATCTCCGAATTTTAAGCATAATGTGGGAAATAAAAGGCGGCTAACGGTCAATATTCGATCGGTTTCGCGTAAACGACTTCCAATCCGGTTATCATAGCAATTTAACTGTACCATAAAATTCTTGACAGACAACGAAATTTTAGCTATCGCGTGTATAGTATATTTATAGCACCTGTGCTTTAATAAAGGTTTTTTTTTTAACTGATTTAAAATTAAAAATGTTAAGTTAACAGTTACTTACGAATAAAACATGTATAGATTCTTCACACCTGTCTTGTCTTCTAAAGTAACAAAATTACTTTGTTGTGACAAAGGTCAATTAAATAAAAAAGACACGGTGTTTGAATACAATTTTGTACATTTTCTTTTGTTTTTTTCTCAATACACAAGTCAAAGTTTACATTTCATCTGATTGCATAGCAACTAAAAATTACGTTACTTCAGATACGAGATCGCAGACGGCACACACGTTGGCGAAGAGGGATACTTCACAAATCCTAAGGCAACTGATGAGAGTATCGTGAAGAAGGGATGGTACTCATTCACCGACAACAACGGCAAAGTCTACACTGTCACGTACTGGGCCGATGAGAGCGGCTACCATGCCACCGGAGACCATCTCCCAACTCCACCACCAGTTCCCCCCGCGATCCAAGCGTAAGTACCACAAAACATTCATAGAAATATGTATTTATTTCTATGTTTAGACCACATAAGAAGACATTCGCAGTTAAAAGTTTTTTAAGTAAGCCCCCCTTCTCCTATAAAAAAAAGTCTGACCCACACAAGCATCGAAAGTTTTTGTGAATGAAATAAGTTATTCATATATAAATAGCAATGGCCGTTATAAAGCCAATAATATATCCGAAAAAGACTCTTAAAAACAACGTAATTTTAAACAAAGAAAAACATCTTGAAGACCATTTAAGTGCTATTGAGAGTCGAGAAATTATACTCTCATATTCTTAAACCAGAAGTATCATTGAATATTTTTTTTCACAGTGCCATCGACCAAAACGCAAAAGAAGAGGCTGCTAAAGCTGAAGCGGAGAAGAATAAACAACCAACTCAATCAGTGAATCCACCACAGATGTACCCACAACAGACACAAAATCCTCAACAAGTGTACTACCCACAACAAACACAGAAACCAGTTTACTACCCGCAACAGACTCAAACACCAATGCAACCAACACAGCAACCCGCGGTTTATCCTCAACAACCACAGCAAACTTACTACCCACAGCAGCAACAAAGCTACTATCCCCAACAAAATCAACAAACCTACTACCCACAACAAACCCAACCTCAACAGAATTATCACCAATCGGGCTACGGCAAATAATCTGCGATATTAGAAACGTAAATTATACGGCAACGATAAATAATTTGAATTGCAAACATAAGACAAATGGCAATTAAATTATATTTTAATATTTAATTTAAATTATTAAATATTACAATATGAATGGAAGGATTTAAAATAATTAAATAAGCAATCTTGTGCACGATATTTATTGTGCACTTGATTACTAATTTGTAATTATATTATTATCGTTGCCATAAATGTGTGTGATTTACTTTTAAGTTAATTAAATGTAATGTAAATTATAAATTTATTTTATTTATTTCCTTAAATATGCTCAAAAAACAGTATTACTAAGCCTTGACTATTACGAATCGGGATATCTTTACAACCATTCTCCTTCTTGTACGCTTGTAGATACTTCGATAGACGAATACTTGATAAAAGTTAGCTATTTAATGGGACCAACGTGACAATCCTTACCTAACAATTTCCGTACTACATTTATATCAAGTTTTAGATGAAAGCACGTAGCAAGTTCTTAGCCTAAACAAATTAAAAAAAAAAGTTTAAACGACTTAAAAAGGTTCAGGGACATATTGGAGTTCGTATATTACAAGATTCAAACTTTATAGAAGCTCGTGGTTCACTGTATACGCAAGCCTTGCAGGTAAGTTTCCGGTGGGCCCACTGCAAGTTGAGGAAGCGGACAAACGTTTCCCTTTACCTTATAACTATAATTGCGTATAGTGCAGCGTTTCGTTTTATGCAGACATAAAGATTGGATCGCATTATACCTTGCAATCCGATGACGTCGTGACCCCTTCAAGGCTAACATCGGCTATAAACCCAAAAAAGACAACCTGCAGCTACTAAAATAAAATTTAGTATCATACGGCCCAGACCTTGAACCAAGAAATTTAATACTAACCAGTTTATAAGGGCATTGACTTAGCTATTATAAAAGTTACAAATTTTCAAGAGTGCGTTCACACGTAAAATATTTTACACTGTTATAAAATTACATAGAAACACCGAAATATTACATTTACAAACTCTGAATCATATCAAAATTAATGATTATTTTTGTGCCATAAAATCCACAAAACACGAACATCTGACTGTAGAATTTTACTTAAAGAAGGATAAGAAATCAAAGTAAGTACACGTTAGATTGACAGAATAAGGACGCTTAAGTTTAGTTTAATAATATTGCTAAAAACACGCAATTTTTGTTAAAAATATTTTACTTAATAAAATCATAATAAAGACAAAATTTGTAGAAAATTTATAAAGTAAAGATTTAACCTAAATGCACGTACCAAAATAAATGGTCGATTTTTTTTTTCATTACAAGTCGAAATAAGCTTTTAAGCTGTCTCGTTTAATTTGTACTTGCTCAAGTTATTGAAGATTGGAAGTGACTTTTGATTTTCTTTAACAAGCAAAATCATTAACATAACATAATATAAAAAAATGGCAAAACTGTGTCAGTAATAACATAAGAGAAAACATATCAAGTGATATTTTCACGAATGCCTGAACACGATCTTGCGTGTGTATAAATGTATGCGGAATTCAATTTCATTATCAGTCTTTCTTCTATCTGTGTTAAAGAGTGACGTGATATAGAATTTTATGGATTACAAATTAAGGAAAAATGAAGCTGGTAAGTAATACCTAAATATAATTTTAATTCATCAATTAAATAATATTTAAATCATAAAAACATTGTTTCAGGTGTACTTTTTCTTGTACGTTAACGTATTTGTTTATGTAAATGGTCAAAAAGTTCATCAAGGACAATTTCCTTTACCACAAAACTATCCATTGACAAATTCAATGGTTACATCAGATAGGTCTATTTATATTCCATCAGAATTTCAAACTTTAAGTCCATATTTCGCGTCAAACAATTATGACGATCCATATAAACTTTTACCATCAATTCAGGCTAAATTATCGAACGCATTTCCAACATCATTTCCAATTTTATTAACACCAACAACCGATTACAAAGATGGATTGCAAAGAAGAATAGAAAACAATGAAAGGTTTAATAAATCTGTACCAACTCCATTCACGTACAATCAAACTAAAATAAATTCAAACGTTAAAGAAGCAGAAAGGAGAACATTTCCTATTAATACGCAAGTATTAAATTATAAACAAATTGATAGAATGGATAGCAAAGCATCGGCACAAGTAACACCGCCTACAGAAGCAACAAAAACTACAAATACTGCTTCTAAGAAGTTCATAATATCTACAGATAATATAAATAATCAGGACCTTGAACAAAAAGCTTCATTTCACAATGTACACTACGCCCCTCCACCAAATGTGTACATACAGTCTACCACAGAGATCGCAATACCTATACTAAGATTGTCCAACGAGATGGATTTGGATGGAAGCTTCAGCTACGAGTAAGTTACATAAATTATATTAATAAATAATGTCTAATTTATTTCGGCCCAGTTTCAAGAGTGTCTAAAAAGAACGTTTGAACATGTTTAAAACAATTGTTTATTTCAAAACTTTTGTCGACAAGTGAATAATTTTCTCAAACTGTTTTTCTGTCGACAGAGCCTTAGGTGCGGATCAAACTCATTACGTTCAGCACAGTCGTATGGAAAACTTGGGTACTGACAAGGAGAATCAAGTTGTTGAAGGTTCATATTCATATGTTGGTGACAATGGCCAAACATATACAGTACACTACATTGCTGATTCTAATGGATATCGAGCAACCGGTGATCATTTGCCAGTTCCACCACCTGTTCCTGAGATTATACAAAGGTTTGTTAATATTTTTATACATATATACGAACTCCTAACATAGAACCAGGTTTATTGCCAGCATGAACTTTGTAATACTTATCAAAATTAGGATCAATCTATTAGTGGTCAGGTTTTTGTACATAGGAGGAGCAGAAATGACACTAAAACACCATACAACTCATTTGACTGATTGTTACATACTGAAATTGTAGAGTATAGTAGACGATCATCAACTTTACCATTTCATTTTTAGATCCGTTCAATACAATCTTGCCGAGGAAGCAAAGAAACCACCACATCTAAGATATTATTATGATGATGAAAGTGACAGTTTTTATAATAACGATAAAAACAATCAAAATTATGTCCCAGTACAAAATAATTTATTTACTGGACGAACACCGGAAGCATTTTCTTTTGGCATTTCACAAAGATCTTCACAAAACGATTTAACATCATCAACGAATTCCAAAGAAGCTATAAATCAAAATATAGAATTTACTGAAGATAAATTTAAAAGAAATACAAATTTTGAAAATCTTGAACCTCAAGTCACATTTCTAGCATCACAAGGCGCAAGTTTACCTTTGAATAAACCTCAAAAATCAAGTTTACCACAGTTAGTAAATTATGATTCAAGCCAACCCAATCTAATATCAAAAGAGTCTGAAAATGCAAAAGCTTTATGGAGATGGCAATACGGTTCAAATAGTAATACCGAAAACTTAAATCCTACAAAAAATCTTATATCAAGATCTTCTAGCGAAGGTGATGATGTAATCATAAATTTTAATGAAATGTCTCCAATAGAATATTCAAAAGCTATTAGGAATTATGAAAATTCATACACTAATTCAGATTACGATTTCATTCGAGAACAGCAACCAAAATCAAATAATATTAAAATTATGAATGACAATAACACTTCCGAAAATAATTACTATTATAGTATAAATAATCAGAAGACTATTACAGCTAAGACTTCAGGTAACGAAAATACCTTTCATCAATTCAATGATGAATATGACAAATTCGAGAATAATTTGAACAGTACCCAAACAATTAAATCTGACGAAGCTATTAAAGCAAATCCATACACTTTTGCAGTTTCTACTGATACACCTCAATGGTTAGACTATGAATCTGTGTCTTATAAACCTAAATACATAGCTCCATATTCAGATAACAAAGAGAAATATTCAACATTCGAATATTTAAGAAACGAATCTGATACTAAATACAGCCACTATTACAACAATTATGAAGCAAATATTAATGAAGACAGAAGCTCTTCTAGTACCACAATCCCATCTGATAATAATATGATATATAATCAAGAGAATAAGGATAAGATTCAGGAAGTAAGAATACTACCAAAGCGACAAGAAATTACATCACAAAGCAATAAAGTTACTACTACCGAAGACAATATCAATGAAATGCTTCGAGACAATATATTCCTAAGAAATCTTTTCAAGGCAAAAAATTCTAACATACAAAGAAATAATTTACAAAATGACATCAATAAAGAATACTACAAAAATTCAATTATTAATACAACACCAAAATCAATTGATTCTGATCAACAATACGTTATAATAACATCTCCAAAAAATAAAAATGAAGCAAAAACTCCAAATGATATAAAATCAAACGAAAAAAGACCGTTTGATACAACAGACGTATTATATTATGTAATTAATAAAAACGTTTTCGAATCAAATAAATTAAAAACAAAAAGAAAACCACTGCAAGTAAACAATGATAATAACGGATCTAATGATTTGAACAATGAATCGATAAAGAAATTTAAACAAGAGACGGCAGCAAATCAAAATAATTATCTATTACAACCGCAACAACAAGAAATACGCGGTATTTTAAAGAATTATAAAGTGATACAGCGTAATAATGTAAGAAAATCGAATACCAAAGAACAAGAAAATAATACACAAAATTCTCAGAATCTTTACTCAGTAAAATTACCGCATTTAGGTCGGGCTGGACCTTCAACAAGGAGCTATCTACCACCAGTATATTTATAAGTAAATTGTGATTATAATTATAGTTTCATAATGTAAATATAATTAATTTTTTTTATATAAATTAAATTATTAATAAATAGTTTAGAAGTCCGATTTGATTTTAAATTAAACGAATTAATTTAATTCATTCTATATATTTACGTGTAAATAATATGTTTATTTTTAGATTTATTGCACATTTTAAAAGGAAAAGTGAACATTATAAAAGAAATTATAATCACATCTAATGTTCACATACTTTCTTATTTTTATATTCTACTAGCTGTCACCTACGAATCCGTTCGTGCGGAATTAAAAAAATCTTAATAAAATGCTTACGTGTTCTTCCAGACTATGTTCTACATCTATGGGAAATTTCATTAAGATCTGTAGAAGGGTTACGGAAATACCTTCAAACAAACATCCATCCATCTAAAGTTACGCATCTTTGTATATATAAGAATTTTTAATTTCTGTTCTGTTCATTTTTAATTTCATATACTGTATGTATAAAAGAAAGTCGTGTTAGTTACGCTATTTATAACTCAAGAACGACTTTACCGATTTGGTTGAAAATTGGTGAGGAGCTTAGAGCCAGGAGACGGACATAGGATACTATTTATTCATTTTTTTTCGAATTTATCCCTTTAAGAGCTGCTTTTTATTTAACTTACTAATATTATAAATGCGAATGTTTAGATGGGTGGACTACACTAATTAAGTTTTTTTTATATATTCACGCGGACGGAGTCGCGGGCGACAGCTAGTTTGTAATATTAGTAAGATTATTACATTCACATAATATAATAAGCCCAATTATGTACTTTAACAGAAAAGTAATGAATTTTATAAGTATAAATAAGCAAGAATACATAATCAATCTCGCTGTCGACACTGAAAGCGTGACGTGAGATGAATTTTCTAAGAACTTTTTCATCACTCAGTTGTTTTTCAGAAGAAATTATATCAAGATCAGTTCTCGCTAAGAGTAGCATCAGTGAAAGCAAAAACGTAACGGAACAGAATGTTATTGTTCAATTACTGAGTATCGTTCAGTCTTAATTAAATCTATTAAGTTTTCTTCCATAATCTTTTATCCACACGATTTGAAATATATCAGTACTAAGCTATCGTATTTCAGATTTATAACCAGACTAAGTTTCGCCCGCGACACCGTCATCCGACCGCATGGATTTAAAACAATTGGCCTATGTTGTCTTCCAGGCTATGTTCTACATCTATGTAAAATTATAACAAAATCCATGCAGCCGTTCTGTAAATATCTTCCAACATCCATCCAAACATTAATATTTATAATAGTAGTAAGAAGTATTACAAAAACTGTCTTATAGGTTATTTTGTGCTTTATTTTAGAGATATTATAAAATACTTCTAGACATTATTAGTTAGAATCAGTAAGCGCGAATGCTTTCGTTACAAAGTCCAGTGCCAGAATGAATAGTGAGGGGACACAAACGTCGACATTTTAGTAAGGCTAGTGTTGGGTCAATACTCTGCCACATTTTTGGATTTTCATTCTAACACTACTAGTTGTTGCCCGCAACTCCGTACTCGAGGAATAAAAAAAAACATAATAAGTATCCTATGTGTTGTTCCCAACTATTTTATATATGAGTGCAAAATTTCGGAGATACATTCAAACATCCATCCATCCATCTAAACATTCACATTTATAATATTAGTATGATTTCTTTATCCTATAATTCTCAAATTATGTGTTAACATATGATGTCGAATAAAGTCATTCCTTGCAGAAATATCGTTTTAATCACGTCTTACTGGAGAATCTTTGAATTCTAAATATTTTATTTGAATTAAATCCCAAGGGAATGGACATACGTATTCTAAACAAAATCGTCATCCTCAATAAACATTAAGCTCTGGCTGCTTGGAGATGTTGATATTATTTTATTTTTTTAGGTTTTTACATTACGATTTGTGTTAAACGAATATAACTCTTATTGCTTAAGCTTTAAAGTATAAGAATATCAAGAGTTTTAGGAATCAAGGATTGCCATTCATTTCATGTTACCGCCGACTAATATTTTTTATCCCAAAATTCAGATCACGTCTTTCCTTTTAAGGAGAAACCTTTGACTTTAGAAGAAGCCAAGGGCAAAGCAATCATGGTTTTATTCAAAAGCTAAGATTATGTGTTTTCTATTTATATTATTAAACATTAGTTACATAACATCGTAAATATAAATTGTGAAGTAACAAATCTTACTAATATTATAAATGCGAATGGATGGATGTTTGTTTGAAGTTATCTCTGGAACGACACAACAGATTTTGATGAAATTTAACACACATGTGGAACATAGTCTGGAAGAACACATAAGCTACTTATTAAGTTTTTTTTAATTCCACGCGGACCGAGTCGCGGGCGACAGCTAGTACGAATATTTACTGTTATATATATATTCATTTAGGATAATAGTGTATCTATAAAGAGTAGAAAGACTATATACATAACGTATGTATAAGCATGAACGTAAACACATAAAGGCAAAGGATATATAATACACACGGCTGATTGCGTCGCGTCGCCAGACTATCCAAATTAAGGGGTATGTTTGGGCAAACGTTATTTACACAATACTCTAATCCGAGCAAGCATATTTACGTAAAATAAGAAATGTTATTTTATGTAAAGAGCATAGTAGAAAAATATTAAAACATAAATAATAAATCTTAGAATTTGTCTCCTCAATATGCGCTACTACATATTGCTATCTCTGACATCGTCTTTGAAAAAATAAGGACAATACATAAACATCATTATTGCATTAGCTTTTAATAGAATGAAAACTCACTGGATTGTATTGTTAGAATGTGTCAAAGACTCGTCTGGCTATTCATCCAGTTAGCTAAAGGTTGAGTGTAACGATAGCAAAAGGAATCTACACATGCTAGGCTAGTAGAAACTACATTGCTTTTGAGTCTTAAACAAATGAACTCAAATGCGTTTGGCGTCGCTCACTGAATATTTTCGCTCCGCGTCCGCGAAATAATAACAGTACCACTCATCCTGATGAAGGGCCCCCGATGGGCTCGAAACTAGACGGTGCCGCCACCGGACGTATACACGTGAATGTTTAGCCGTGTTTTTATATCAGTTTGGTATAATGTCTCACGAAAGTTTGAATAATTTCATAGTCGTAACAAGTTGAAATGTTAAGTACTTATGCGAAAGTTTTTGTTTTTATAATAATATGAATAAAAAATATACAAAACCGTTGTTAACACAATTCTTCACTTATTAGATAAGTCAAATTAAAAACAAACAGACACAACGATTCGATCGCTATTCTTTATTAAAATTCGAAAGAAATGGGATTCGTAGCATTTTTTTTTTTTTTCAATGAAAAAAAGTTGCTTTTTATTTATTCTACACTAAATAAACTCGTATTGTCGACACTATAAAACCCGTGTGTATTTGATAGCCCATTCAAGTCAGTCATTCTAAAAAATATCGTACCTTTAGTGAGTCAGAAAGCCGAATGTTAGTAATTCTCACACTTGTAAACTTCGCAGAACATTAGTGATACGAGACAATCCTACGTAAACCATAAACAGACCTGATAAAATCACACACCAACTTTATACAAACCACACTTAATGTATAAAAAATTATACACATAAAGGCTTTTTCCTCAAGTCGAATCAGTAATCGTAATACTTAGAAGTAAACTATAGTGTATTAAAAATGTAATTTACGTAAACACATCATCATTAATAAATAATTATCGTTTACAATGATTGGCAAAGACATTCATTTTATACATTATTCTTTTGTCTGTATGTTTGTTCTCCCTCAAATAATTTCTAAATATACTTATAACAGTAAATTAGTATACTTAAAACTAGCTGTCGCTCGCGATTCCGACCGCGCTGAATTTAAAAAAAGCCTTACAAGTAGCCTATGTGTTCTTCCAAATTATGTTCTACATCCATGCTAAATTTAATCGAGATCTTTTCAACCGGTCTGATGATAACTTCTAACACACATTCCATCCATCCATTCATCTAAACATTCTCATTTATAATATTAGTAAGAAGTAATATATTTAAAAAAAAATCCCATAAGTTACTTTACCTATCCAACAGGCTCATGTAACTTGAGTATTCGGTAAAAAAAAGAGGCCACCGTACACGGACTGGCTCAAACGGATAGCTGTAGCTTCTGGATGTTAACTTTCTTTTTTTATTGACCGACAGCCTTTTTTAGTTGTGACAAACACTGTTGTGACTCCCCGTGTCCGTCAAATCCACTTCCCTTTCCCATCCCTTGCATACAATAAGTGGAAAGTAGGAGGGGACTAAAATAAGGCCTCCGGAAGCACACTGGAAGGCCGAAATGCGGAATTAATTCTACGTCACGCCTATCTTCTGTGTGGTCATGGTATTTCACTAAATGAGCCGACCAATTCGTGAAACTGATGCTTTTTCTGGCGTCTACCATTAGTAAAACCTAGTTATGAATGTAAATATAGGTATGGTTATGTAGTATTAGGGGACGCAATGTCATCATAGCGATTAATTAGTGGAAAATGAACATCGCACCGATCGACATTTTCAATTACAGCCATCTCAAACTGAACTGAATTATCGCATGGCCGAAGGGAACACTCGAGCGGTTTTAATGCCGATGTAATAGTGTTATGGTTTAACCCACCTTTCGTTTAATTCCTTGATAGTGTACGCATAGAATATGTTAGTGGATTTTTGAATGTAAAAAGGAATATGCAGGCTATTATGTTACTAATATTATAAATGCGAATGTTTAGATGGATGGATGTTTGTTAGAAAGGTATATCCTGAACGGCTCAACGAATCTCGACAAAATTAAAAACAGATACAGCACAAAGTCTGTAAAAACTAAATAAGACTAATTCGTATACTTAGTTAAAAAAAAAACTTTTTGAAAATGTGATTGAGTCTACATTTATTGATTTTTTTAAGGAAGCAAGAAAAAATTAGCGGATTTAATATGTGTAAGACAATTGGTCAAAAGCAAGATTCAGCCAGACACCTAAATAAGGCAAGAAGCGGTATTTTACCCGGAGTTCGTTTTAAAAACGATCGTATCATTCGTTGTTTTATTTTGTTTCAACTCAGGTAGAGGCCCTTCGCAAAGGGCCATAATAACCTCATTTCATTTTTGGGTTAAACTCCGCGAAGAGTTGGTAAATGTATTTTTAATGTTGCTATTTAAATTTCTGCTTAAGATGAAATGTTTTTGTATAATCATTACAACTTTTTATCAAAGTTTAAATATGTAAATGCCGAAATAATGTACTATTTGAAAACACTCGAAAAATAACCGTAAAATCATACGAAATTAAGTTTGAAATCGAAACTATAGGATCAGACATCCAAACGAACCCAATTTGAAAATGAACCTGGGATCGATTTAGTTCCATGGTTCCATTTAACAACTAAGCTTACGGTTCGGAATTAAATCGTGAATCAAACTTTGCGTTAAATTTTTTATCAAATTACAGGATTTATCGCAGTTGACTACACCTTGAGAAAAAATCATAATTAATTGTCGCCTATGTGTCGCCCATCGTAATTGGTAGCCTATGTGTTCTTCCAGACTATGTCCTACATCTATGCCAAATTTCATCAAGATCCGTTGAGCCGTATCGGATATATTCAAACCAACATCCGTCCATCCAAATATACGCATTTATAATATTATATACTAGTAAAGAAGTAAGATTAGTACAATATTACGGCAAATTGATAAAATAAGTATAAGAACGGATCGTCAGTAATCGCAAACTGTGGGGCGTCAGCGCCCCCACACGGACTCTCGATACAACTTGGGGAGGACATATGGCGTTACGGTATTAGTATGTTGATGAGGCAATTTCGATCACCGCGGGGATAACGTGATTTATAGGCAGGATACAAGAGTGTTCGATATAAAAATGTATTATATTGTGCAGTTTTACCTGAACACTGACCAGGCGGAAAAAACGCGATAAGAAATTGGCGAAACTTAGAAAAAATTAATTTAAATTACAATAGGTACTTATTAACAAAACAATAATCTTTTGATATTAAAGATTCTATTTTTAGACTAGGAAATGGTTCAGAAAACAGAGACCACTTGCAGGATTAGCAATGCCACTTTTAATTCGCATTTATATTTATTGAAACTAGCTTTTGTACGCGACGCCGTCCGCGCGAATTTAAAAAAAATACTTAAGTAGTAGCCTATGTGTTCTTCCAAGCTATCTATTCCACATCTGTGCCAAATTTCAGATCCATGCAGCCATCAAACATCCATCCTTACATCCAAACTTTCGTTTTTATAACATTAGTATGTAGGTATATTGAATGACTGAGGAAAATATTAATCAATGGATGTAAAAGCTATTAAAAAAAGTTAGTTTTAACACACATATAGGTCTAGTAACTAACGATAACAATAAACAAAACTTTGCTCAAACATTCCTTTCATTGTTTAGCAACTACTACATAATTCACAAAAGATTGACCGCTTCCCACGCGGCATATGTGCACATAATTAATTTCAATATCCTCTCATACTGTTTCTTATTAACTTCGATCCATCAATCTTAAATATAAAAGGGAGTAAATGTGTATATTTCAGCATAAAAGCTAAAATAATTGAGTTCAATTTTAATCACACAAAGGAAATCAAACGATAAACAACCTCTACGTCAAATATTTTGAAAAACAAAGCTTGATTTATTTTGTACAACAATAAAAGTAACAATAAAAATTAAAGTTACCATTGCATTTTTATATCAAAGTCTTTACTACGACTAATATCACCAAAGTGTGTTTTGTAATTCTACTTCAATAGTGTGATACAACGCCATCTATGTAACTAACAAGAAGATAATTAACTTACTTGTCACAACCAAAACGTTTCAACGGTTGTTTAAGTGTCCACTAGATGGCACTTAAACAAAATTAGAATTTACCACTCAAAAACCTAACCTAAAGGTCTAAAATCTACACTCAAGAGTCGTATGATGGTTTCTTAATTTAGATAATATAATATACTCATAGGGACTGCTTAAATTATCATAAAACAAATCTGAATGTAACAGTAGCAACACTAACTGTGGGTTTCTAAGACCAAAATATCTGGATAAAACATGTCGTCATCCCTGTTATTATGTTTGACAAAATAGAGATAACAATATATTTTAAACGAGGATTTTAGTCTCAGAAGACCATGATAAATCAGTTTACTCTGAAAAATAACTTAGGGGTAAAAATCATCGGTCTGGATCCGCACATTTTTAATATATTCTACCTTTTTTTTTTTTTTTTTTTTTATATCATAAGGTGGCAAACGAGCGAGCGGCCACCTGAAATCGCTGAAATAGCGAAGTGACCGTTACCCATAGACATATGCAATTGCATATGCGTTGCCTACCTTCAATCGACGGAGGAGAGGATGCACAGAAAGAAAATATCTTCCCTTTCCATGCATCTTCTCATCCGGAAAGTCCACTTCCACTTCCCATCCTTTCCTTATAAGAAAAAGGATGGGAAGGGAAAGAGGACTAAATTAGGCCTCCGGGACGCACACTCATCAGACGAAACGCGGAATTGCTTCCACTTCACGTCTGTCTTCTGTGTGGCCCTATGACCAATGCAAAGGCGATAAGAACTTATGCTAGTAATAACCAAGTTACCTGTGAGCTGGAAGAGAGGTCTTCAGCTGCAGGCTCTCGCGTGAACCGTTCAAACTTGAAGCTGTTGGATCGGTAGAGCTCGTTGTCGTCCCGTGAGCGACGGCCGCGACAGAACCGACGGGCTATCGACGTATGTCTGGAAATTATATGTGACATCACCATATGTTAAACATAACCTATATATATATATAAAAGAAAGTCGTGTTAATTACACTATGTATAACTCAAGGAGCCAGGAGTCGGACATAGGATACTATTATATTTATTCTTTTTTTTCGAATTGATGCCTTGAAGAGCTGCTTTTTATTTAACTTATTTTATTTATAATTTTTTTTTTATATCCTTGCGAACGGAGTCGCGGGCGCGAGCTAGTACGACTTAAAAGTACGCTTAGATCACGTGTTAGACAAAGTAAAATAAAATTTACCTCGGAACAAATGTAAGACATATTTGTACGTTTACGTGTCATTTTACAATATGGAAGAATATTACGTACTGTACCAACTCGACGTTTTATATAAATACCAAAAAATCGTATTATATTAAGATGTGATTAACGTTCCTGGAAGCGAGAGAGGTTTGACAGAACTGCCTCGAGTTAAGGTCCGTGATCTCTGCCTACCCCTCTGCTTACCGGCGTGATTATGTTGTAACATTTGCAATTTACGGATCCTACAAGAGAATAAATACTATCCATCTAGGATAAACACTAAAAGATAACTATGATAAGAGCTAGATCATAAAATTACATACCATACGTGAAAATTTTGCAAAATGTTGACACCACATTCTTTCAATTTCTAATTCCTGCTTCATATTTACACAATAATTCATTTAATTACTATTTAAATTATTGAACTGAGCTGTACATGTAATAAAATGCAATAATATTGGCACTGACATTGTAATATACTTCACCATAAGAATTAATGTTAATATTTCAATCTACCCACTTGAAAATCATAATGTACGCTAACCGCTGTTCCAATAAAAGCTATAGATTATAAACAAAGATATGTTACGTTTTACGCATAAAAAATATTCTCATAATTATTATGTCATAAATTCACGGAAAAAATTCTTTCGATGAAAACATCAAACACTTTAATGATCACCTTCTTTAGTAAATGACGTTCTATTTACTACGTTTAAAAAGTGAAAAAAATCTTTAATCTACGTATCGCGGGATTTTATGTATATGTATTTAAAAATATGGAATACAACACCTTATATTCTTGGTACATTAAATAAAACAACACGAAAAGTAAACTTCGCAGTTACTAAACATACCGACTCTTTAATTAAAAGTAAAGGTGTAACCGGCTTTATACGATTTGGCGTGAAACAGTTTAATAATTATAATCTTACCTTGTCTCACTAGAGTGCAAGGGCCATTGTATGCCGAATAACTTCAGTTTAGCTGGCGGCCGCCGCTTCTGTTCTGCACGGGCATTGTCTTCAAGTGGCGGCGTGTGGTGCCGGCTGCCGGAAGACGCCCGCGTGCCGCTCCTGCGCCGCCGCCGTCGTCGCCTCTCCACCAAGATGAAGTTGTCCCCGTTCCTTATTATGTAAGAGGAACGAAGTGTAGACTTCTCCTCACCCTGCCGCTGCCGTATCAAATCCGCAGTTCTTAATGTGTGGATATTCTGGTACTCAGCCTCCGGGGGAGCCGATGACGTCACTTCTCGACTCGTTCCACTTCCATCCCTTTTCTTGCGGGAGGAATGGAGACCGACTCGGCGCCAAACCTTTTCCATGAATCTGTATTTCCTGTCATCCCATTATGTTGCTCTCCGATCCTTAATCTATCTTGACGCGAGACGTCTTCTCTGCACTTACACTAAGTCACTTTAATAATTGAATCCAAATATTTTTTGCACCGATTTGTTTTAACACGTAAATAAATTTACAGCAAATAAATCATCCGATCACGGAAACATTTTCATTGTCTTTACGATACACCACTTGTGGTACTAGCATAGATTTTTATGCATTTACGTCTCAAACGCGCACTTAACGCGGAACGATGTTTGGAGGCAATATAAAACATCAAAAATCATTGATATCAACAATGTAATAAGTGAATAAGATGGGAAAATAATTCATTTTTTGACATCACATTGAGCGAGACCTCGGCCCTACAGACAGGGTGCGGGTAAAGAGCCACGCATGCGCGCTCCCCTCGCCCTTGCTGTCGCCTGCAATGTTCCGCCAACTATTCATTCGTTCAAAATGGCGGGGCGCCGGCCCCTTGTCGATATTGAATATCTAATTTTATCCGAGCCTGAATATAGCGGAACTGCACAACCCTTTCGCATTTATAATTAGTCACACGAAAACTTACACTTTGCTACTTTTTCCATTTTCACATATTTCAACACTAAAGAACGCAATTTTACTTTGAAATTATCCATGATAGATATCTCTTTATGACTACCAAGGAGACGACAAAACACACTACAGCTGCACTATACCTATTGAACAAAATAAACTCATGCCGAACTTTGTTTATTTTTTACGCAGTTAACGCACATGCGTCTTTCAGCGAGGATGTATAAATTCATCACCCAAAAATTTCTGTTCAGTACACATTCTCTGAATTTATACGGTGGTACAGCTTATCCTACCTACGGATAGTCCCTTATACCTTTAAATTATGAAGAAAAAGAGTCAAACACGGTTTCCTGACATTACTCCCGGTGGTCTCTGGCATCATCAAAGGATTGTTGGTATTCTTTGGAGAGTAAGCCTGGCTGTCGTAATTCCATGTAACTATGGTGGTCCTACCATTACTCTAATTACCCGAATATCCTACATTTTTCTCTTTCATCTTATGACATTTATATTTAATCTTATTTTAAAAATAACGTAAAGAACGTAATTACGATAACAAAAATAATCTACTTAAATAAATAGAACTATCATTTCCGCATTTTAAAGCACTCATTATATTTAGGAATATTTTAATCTCCTTGTTTTAATATTGTATGGTATACATACAATAAAAACCATGGTGGTATTTGGAGACATTTTTCGTCTTATATTCATATCAGTCTATTAATTCTTGCCTCGCACACCGGCGTTGTGGAATGGTCTATCCACGGCGGTCTTTCAAGTAGCGACCATCTCATTTCCTTAAAAGCAACGCATCTATAGTTCCTCTGGTGTTGCAGATGTCCATGGGTGTCGTTGTTCCCGGTGCTCCAGGCGCTCTGTTGCACGCTTCTCTTATAAAAAAAAATTAGAAATGTGTATTTTCGAACCGAAACTATGGTAAGTAAGGACACAAGGTATCTATGATGCTTGATATATTTCTACAGAACTTTGTCTTCCCTAATATTCCTTTCAAATGTGTAATAATACTTAAGCTATGATATTAATTGTTGCAGAAATACTACAACAGTACTACAAAATACCATTTCAACTGTCCGAAAAATACAGCAAACTTGATCAGACATCAACTACCACACAAGTTCTTTAAAATAGTAACACATTTAAACAGATTAAATATTAAAAAAAATCAATTTTATAAAATGAGAAAAAATAGTGTAATGTTAATAAGAAATTAATGAGACAAACAACAATTTTATTGTTAAAGAAATATTTATTTTGTTCAAAATAAAATTAATATATGTACATGAAAATAATTTAATTCGAATGTATTTACGGAGGTTATTTTTAATATCAAAATGCATACTTATAAACAAAACAATTCAAAAATTATTTATAAAACGGCAAATAATTATTTCTTAAAATGCTAATATCAAATTACTTAATAGGTGCATTGATCAAAGATTTAGTTGTTACTGGGTTACCACTGACTTTACTAATCAATTTATTCCCTTGCCATACAGCAAATAAATCTGCACTTGTTTTCAAATCAACTTGCAATTTCTCCCATATCTTCTTCTTTGGGTTTAACACATCATCTGGTTCACCTGAATCATAATCTTCTACTACAATTCTCTCACCTGGCTGGCTATCTTTTGGTGGTAAAAGTGGTTCTACTTGTTTAGGTTCATCGATAGATGCACATAAAACCATTCCCTTTGATTCAATTCCTCTCATTTTAGCCGGTTTCAAATTACATAAAACAACTACATTCCTGTTTTGCATTTCTTCTATTGGGACATAATTTACAAGTCCTGATACAACTACTCTTGGTTCTTCTTCACCTAAATCAATTTTTTCTACATACAAAGAATCTGCATCAGGATGTCTAGATACTTCCACTATGCGACCCACTCTTATATCCAACTTTGCAGGAGTTACCTCATCAACGGCTGCATTTGCTGCAACTTTTTTTGCGGGTGGATAAGCTTTTTTAGTCAATTCTTGAAGTTTACTGTCTTTAAATATTTCATGAATTGGAGCTAAAAGTTTGTTAATCACTTGCTCTACTGAAGCCTTCAAATCACCTGGATGGATTTCTTGTTTTGCATAAGCTTGTTCTAAATCTTCAAATTTGGAATAATCTACATTACCTCCATGTTCTTCCGCTCTACATATTTTGAAAACCTCATCCTGCTTCATTAAAGGAAATATGACATGCTTTGTAAATGATAAAATACCATTTTCAGTTATATTACCAGGTTCACAGAATGCTTTTTTAAGCTTCTTTTTAACAACAGCGGGACTATCGAGCAAGTCAATTTTGCTGTCTTCCTCTGATGCTGACATTTTTCCACCTGTAAGTCCAGGTACCATAGGGTTCATTAAATGTATTCTTTTAGCATAACCCAGTCTAGGTAAATATTTCTCGGCCAACGTAAATATTTTCCTTTGATCAACACCTCCAAATTGTGCATCAACTTTCAAATATTCTTCATCCAATGCCTGTAAGCCAGGGTACAATAGACTACTTAGTACAGGGTACTCAACTTGCTTCACTACTTCTGCCCCAGCCTTTTTAGCATCATGTTCAGTAATCACAGATGAGAGCCTGTACACATCTAATGTAAATTCTTTACTTAATTGATAATCAGTACCACGGACAAAACGAAGCTTTTCTAAAGGTACTTCAAGAGAAGTTAACATAGCTTTTATTGCTGCTTCATAGTATTCAGTTCGAAGTGCCAAGAGATCCCATGGTGCTTTCATATTATCCAGATAGGCATGTAAATCTGCAAATAAAATTGTTACCTCACATCCTGCTTTAAGGAAATCAGCAATTTTAGACATAGGCACAAAGTATGCTACATGAGGTCGGCCCGTGGTAGCTGTGCCCCAATAGATTTTAACATCTCGTTGTTTCAGGATTTCAACAAGCTTCTCTTCTCCCATCACCTCTTGCAAATTACGAATAATAAGACGTTTCTTTTCTTCGAAATCAGACATGACTCTAAATTTTCAACCTGAAAACCAATGAAATACATTCATAAGCTTTAAAAATTTTATGTGATGAAATATTGTTTAATAAGTTCATGATAAAATATAAATAAAAGTAGAATTAGAACAAATTATTCAGTTTAATAAAGAAACTTACAGCACTTTAGGAAATATGTCAACAAAAATTAATACCAATTTCTATTCAGTATGTTAGAAAATAACCAAATTCGAAAGCAAGTACACGACAACTCCACATTGCATCATACGTCATACGATACGTCACAGGCACCAGTCACACACAGCTGACATTCTTGTCATTTGTCAGATGTCAACTACAGATAACGTATTCACAGACAAAATAGTAAACCTTATTCTTATCTGTGCTACGATAAATATAGACCTTTTTCATGGTTTTCGAACCCCAAACAGCTTCGTTCCACTCCGCTAGTTTGCACAAGTTATGTCAATAAAATATACGGCTAAGCTTCTCACAATTTAAAAATCAGTTCCACCAGTTTTGAATGAACAAATAAAAAAATCTTCTCTTTTTAAAAAAATAAAAATTACTGTTTCTATAAGATAATGAAGGAAATTAGGTACTGTATATATAATCAGTGATCACTGATTCCCACAAAATAAACCAGAAGAACTTGCTATACATCGCGAGTGACTTGGTCATTGGTAGGATTATAATTAAGTGCTACATTATAAACATAAAAATTACCTGATTATTAAAATATATTATTCATTTTAAATGAATCTACATACTTTAATTTGGTTGACTGATTTCAAGTTAAATTGTAGCGCGAAAATCACATGGGACAACCAATGTGATTCGCTTAATTGTATATTTTACATAAAATATTAATAAACCACATTCAATCTGAATGCATTGATAACAAATATATTCATGATTATAGTATACACTTCATTCTCCTTTTAAGAAGCAAAACGAACAACATGTAAGTTAATTATGGTAAAATTTAGACTTTTTTGTGTTGCTTATTTATTTAATAGCAACGTTTTGCAAATCTCTTGAAGAACTTACTTTTAAGAATTGTTTCGCAATAAGTACAGAACTTCTAAGCCTTTTAGTTTGCTTCTGCTTTCAAACTTATAAGTTATATATTTATTGTAATAAAATCAAAAGTTACATCTGTAATCTCGTAAATATCTTATAAATTAAGGGAGAATAAAATTCAAACGAAATTCCTAATGAAAAGCAAAAGTTTTGCACCAATTTAAAAAGTTTTGTAACACTTCAGTTTAAAATTTAAATTTGGCGCTACTGTTGCAGTGAATGCTCGCGTTTCCTGTCAAAAGCGCCATTGCGCATGACAGTCAGTGCGGCCTTGCAGACTGAAGAGCGCTGCCAACAAAGGCCGAGTCGATGGGGTTACAAAAAATTTGTTAATTTGGACTTATAAAACCCTTTTGTTATCATAATTATAATTTTAAATAGGTTGTGAATCTGTGATTACGTTAAGAAATGTGTGAATGATATGAATTGTGACGACTAGCAAAGGAGTCAGCTGGTCCACAGTGCGAATAGTGAATAAGAAATGGCGGCCTTGCCAGCAGGTGTTCAGTATGGGTTATCATCTGAGTCTAGTTATAAAGAAAACAAGGAACTAGTGTTTGTGAAACTTACGGATTCTGCTTTGAAAGCTATAGAAGATTTTATTAGAAATAATAGGGTAAGTACATACGCCATATTGTTACTACCAAAACAGGCCAACAATGTCAGGCGCCATACTTATATTTCAAGTAATCATAATGAAGCTGCTAATCTGTAAATATTTGTGCAAAACACAATTTTTCTTTTATATCATATAAGTATTCCAGGGCTATCTAACACTGAAAGCTTGAAGTGAATTTAATCCCTGCGCTGTCACGCCACGTCAACAAGTAGAAATTTTACTCTGTATTATTACACACAGAATTGTATTTCACTTGGCTATTATTAGGAAGACTTCGAATTATATTGTCACCGAATTTAGTATTTACAACGATTTATCGTTGCCTATATTGCCAGCAATTTCAATTGATTTTTACATCGTAATATAGAATTTTGTAACCACTCTTGTGCAACTAGAATCTTTGTTGCTGAGGAAACTATTTACAGAGAAGACGTTAACAAAAATAAAAAACGATCTTCTATTTTAATTTCGAACTCTTCAATTAATTATTAACTTTTGTAAGGCTAAGAAATTACATAGAATTAATAACTAAGATAATATTTTGTTCAAGAAATTATTTGACAGTTGTTGTATATTACACTGCCTTCATTAATAATAAAAGTAAACCGAATATTTATTCTGATAATTTATTGGATTATTTATCGACTGACATGATTTTTTTTTGTGGCCAATATGAAGTTTTTGGAATTAAATATCAAGTAGAAACAAGTTAATTAAATTTAATGTTAGTAATAATAATTTTTAATATCTAAATATCATTAAGGTTGTACCAGTTTCATTATGACCATAAGTCTTTATAACATTTTCCAAAGTAAAGAAAAAGGTTATTAAGAAAAAAAAATATTTTAATTAATATTAGTAAATCATCATTAGTTAAAAAAGAGTAATAAGATCTGCATAAAAATTGTGCCATATTTCATCAAAACAAAACATTGATTGCTATAATTTCCATCACTGTTTGATATTACTCTTGATCTATTTTTGGAAAACTCTTTGCACAATATATAAACTTAAACACATAAAGTAAATATTCATTAAATACTTATTTTAAATATTAATGATCCTGAAAAAAACTAGGTAGCGAAGATCTATAAAAATTAGACTTTAATCAAATTCTAGAGTGACATTTCATTTGTAACCATAAATTGTAGAATACATCTTTTCCAAGTACTTTGTAGTTAGGATCTGAAATAAACATGATTTATTAATTATAAAAAAAAAATATTAGATAAGGTTAGGGTTTGCATAGAGATGGACTGTTTGAAAGATGTGAGTAAGTAGGGAGTAATACCCTTAATGATGAAATACACATCAATTTGGAAGGTTGAGGAATGGGAAATTGTCAGGAAGGTGATGAAACATAATAAAATATTACATACTTATTCAATTTTATACTTTTCTACCATAAAAATAATTAAAATAGTGGTAAGTGTTTAAAAGTATTGATTACTATTGAAATAAAAATAAATTTATAACTATGTCATCTAATTTAAAGTCTGTCGATACATTGTGAACGGTGCTAACAAAATGTTATTGTTTTTTAAACTTGTTGAAATTATATTTATGTGCTGTATATTTAATTTATCTTGTTAAAATATTCTTAAAGTTGCATATAAAAGTTTTTGTCATTGCCAAAGTGATATTTTAAGGTGATAAAAATGTCAAATGATTGTTTTTAAATTGATGCACATAGTATGAATGTATGCATACATCTTTATTCCTAATATTAATTCAAGGATAGGCAGAGATATATAAATGTTTTTTTTTTTACTGAAACAACCACTCTTTTCATATTCATGGAAAGATACTCCATCGAAGTAGAAATCTGTGAAAAGATAAGATTTCTTTCCTTATAAATTATATTAGCAATCTTGTAGATATTTGACTAATCATTTCATTCATAAATTGTTGAAACTTGTGTAGAAGAACATTATCTTTGTTTTAAGAAATATGCAACTATGATTTTCCATGAGGCGAGTGATTGGCATGGAATGTGTTAAAGAAAATGAGACTTACAATACATATTGAATTGGTGTTGTGGCAGTGTAAACTAAGGGTATAGTTAAAATCGAGTAGATCATCCTTGCAATGGTAAAGAATGTTAATATTTATGGCATATACAGTTTATATTCCATAACTTTAGCCTTAACTGGAGAAAATTACGCATTATTTGTCAACATACTCTTATATCAATCAACATAATAAAGTTACATAATTTTATCTTACTGTTATATTTGTAATATACCTATAAATCTCCATAAGTGATAAGCTTGAGTAAGAGGGAGAAACTTTAGGAGTGCTAAAATATCTTTGTTCCTTAGACTCATCCTCTTGATTATTGTCACATGGTAATAGGAAAATTGATGATACATCTATATAAAACTTGGAACAAAAATAGATTATAGTCGGAAATAGTCCACAGGCTACTAAATCAGTTTTTTAGTCTGCTAGCAAAAAAATATAATAGAAGGGTGTGCCTTCATAGATAAAACCTGATGTTTACATCTTATCTGAACAACTATATAACCTTATTTTGATACTTATTATTATGGTCTAGAGCTTTTTTATTTCAATGTTATTTTGTCTTTTCAAATATAGGCTATGCTTTTAAATTTTTTACTAATATAAACAAATATACAGTCTTAACTGTATTCTATCACAATTTCTTTTCTGTCAGCAAAAGACATAGTTCGTTTATAATGTAACTTGTTGATTCACTCTGCCTGCATTAAAATATATATTGTTTCATTGTTTTTCAAGGTAAATTCCAGCTTGATACCTTCACGCCTTTTTGAGAATAAGGGTCTTGACAGACAGATAGACGGACAACAAAGTGATCCTATAAGGGTTCCATTTTTTTCCTATGAGGTACGGAACCCTAGAAATAATAATTTGCTTAATAAATTAACCAGATCCTAGTTAAACTATTTGACAAATGGATACACACCATTAACTACATAATATGTTAGCCTAAATGTCTTATTATAATTTTACATAGTACTAATTTGATTGTCTTAATTAATTATGATAGGATTCTTCTCGATGGAAACATTTCAATAAATCTCTTTAATTCTCTTGTTGATGGCTAGAATGTGTTTAAAGTAAATTAGTGATGCTGTGCACTGCCAGTACTTGTTAAAAGTATGACAGTGAAAGTGGCATGTGATAGAAAAGACATGAAAGTACAAAATAATGTCATAGAAAAGTGCTGATATGTTTGTTTTATTTCGAATTATGGTTGGTTGCATCACTTACTATTTCATTCACATTTTGATGAAAGAAAAGCTTAATACAAGTATTGGGTTCTATTAAAATTCAGTTTTCTAGGTCATCTTGTCAGGTTCATAGATTTTGATTAAAAGAAAATATATCCCGGAGGAAGATAATAGGGTCAGAACTAGCATAATAATTTCTATTAATGGCACATTAATATGCTTTAAAAGAATTCAATATAACTAAAAAATTAAGGATGTGTTTAAAGTGTTATTATATATTTCATTTGTTTATATTGGAAGGTAAAAGGCTAGATTTGTCATAAAAATTGGCCCTGTATTTGTTGTGGTTGTTTCTTGAAAGTATTAGATGAGTCATAATGATTTGTGCATATACATTTATTACCTGCGTAAATCGTACTTGCAATATTAATCTTTATTCTAACATAGTTTAAAGATGCAAACTTTTAGTATTATTAATTTTTACTTCGGACCTTTCTCACCCAGCACCCATTATAGTTAAGACAGTTCAGAATTTAAGTAACAATAATATTATTGTGTGTAAATGATGTTAGGTTTATAATCTTTTTTATTATTAGAAATAGTAAGACTGGAAAAAACTGGTTATCCACTCTAAGTTTTTTCAGGAAAGAATATAAATTGTATGTCACCTTGCTCTTTTAAATTTATCAAATTATTATGGCTAAAAACCAGAATATTTACTTATCAAAAATATTCATTTATGGTATTAAATAACTGACGAACCAATCATACATGAATATGCAATTTTTGAAGATTTTTGGAAACTACTTATGAGTTAATTCTCTAACAAGAGAAATCTTACTAATATTATAAATGCGGTTGTTTAGATGGATGGACGGATAGATGTTTGTTAGAAGGTATCTCAGGAACGGCTCAACAGATCTCTATAAAATGTGGCATGAGTGTAGAAGATATTCGGGAAGAACTGTCTTGGAAGCGACAGCTAGTAAATTATAATCTTGAGAACATTTTTAGGCGTTTTTATATTGGAATGCAGAGCTGGAATTTGGATGATAATTAGGTTTTATTTCGCAAAGTCAGGTATATTAGGTAAGCGTATCTGACTCCTAGTCGGTTGCCGCGGTGACAATGACGGGGCTGGTGCGCGGTCTGCGAGGTGAAAGTATGTATGTTCAAAAACTTTGTATGACCTCGTTATCTATGAAGTCGTTAATGTTAACTGTCAATGGATTGGTGTAGTTCACATTGTTAAGTATTTTATTATCTTGTATCAGACGATATTTGGCGATGATGTAATTTGCAGCGGACAAGTTGAATCGATATCTTTTTTTGAAATCGATTTTTTATGTAAAAAAAATTTGGCTTGTTGATACAAACTTGCATCTATAAATAAGTAAAAAAATACACGTGTAGTTATAAACATAATTAACGTGGTATTATTATTGAAAATTTCGTAATTTGATATTTGCATCTAAATTGCGTATTAGGAAAATGTTATTTTTTTAAGTCATTGTAAACGTAATTGAGTCCTTAAATATTATTAAGGAACCAAATATACGTAATTATTTATATTTGTATATCTTCCCTAAACTATCATAATATCCTAATTTATTTAGGTTACGAACTATTTAACAACGAAACATATCATTTTTCACAAAACAATCTTTTAATAGTCTTTGGGATAAACTACTCGTGGCACACTTTTTATGTTTACTCCGACGTCTTTTATTTTTTCCACGCATTCTTTTATCTTCTATATCATTATGACTTAGGTTACCTAATTTTAAATTACTGACTTTAGGTTCGATAGTTTTTTTTTAATAAAACATTTGCTAAGAGACGAGTTTATAGTGTGTTATGAGCTACTTTACATTTATTATAACACGTAATACTTGGGATCTTGGCACCTGGTCATTTTTTTGTTTAGATAAAATGTCAGGTAGCGACGTATGTTAGGATTGTCTAATGCGTGCACAATGAAATTGAAACTTTGTCGGTCAAAATTCTAACAATAGTCTATTTTAAGATTTATGTTTTCGTTCTATTTATTTTGTTAACGCCGTTTTACATCTCAAGGATACGACATTTTTGTTTTAAAATTATTGAATTTCCTATTCATACTTAAAAAAATAACTTTTTAATTTCTTTGTTGTAATCGTAATTTGACTAACGCTATGAACCTTTGGACCAGATAAAAATCGACGATAGTAAATTGTGCTACCTCTGTCCATAAGTGTTGAGTTTAAACGCGAAAGTCTTTATGTTTGTAATATTTGTCGTAATTGAATAATATAAGAAAATCTCTTTATATCTTCTTTTATCTTGACATACGCGTACAATACTCGTCCGTAGACGACCGATATTATTTGTGCCTCAATGATAGGGTTCGAGGTCGTCGCACCCTCGGCCCCCAATTCAACACCTGGCTTGTCCCCGGTCCCTTTCAAACAGATGCACGTCGCTCCTTCGAAACATTATCGTTTCTTTAATTTTTATTTGTGCTTCTGAATGGTTCTTTAATGCTTGACGGATTAATCGAGAATTAAACAGATTATTTAGTTGAATCCATATTTTTCTATAATTTAGTTGAATATTTTGATTTTCCCGTACATTTTTCATTAGTTATGTGAGACCTAGAAAGTTTATTCTTGATTTTATCTATTTTATTATGCTAGTAGCTGTCGCTGGCGACTCCGTCCGCAAGGATTTAAAGAAAACTTAACAAGTAGCCTATGTGTTCTTCCAGACTATGTTCTACATCTGTGCCAAATTTCATAAAGATCCGCTGAAGCGTTCCGGAGATACACTTAAACAAACATCCATCCATCCATCTATCTAAACATTCGCATTTATAATATTAGTAAGAGTAAGATAGTACTATATTGTTTTTAGTTGTAGTTTCTTTTAAACTGAATTTATTTTATGTTTTTTTTTTATTTTTCGTACAAACGAGCCTCCAATAAAGTTACCATGTCAAGCAATTGAGAAGATAAACATATAAAATCTAGTATTACGCAAATTTGTGTTGTTTTATCACATTATTTAGTAAGTAATAATTTCCGTATAAGATAAGCTGATTGTATATTATGAGTTTTGTCACATTTAATTTTAGATTTATTGAATTATAAACTTTGTGTCGATCTAAGCGGGCTATCAGAGAAAAATGTTTAAGTTCTCAATAAAAAACACTAATAACTAAAGAATTATTATAAATTATTCAAACTCTCGTGAGACATTATACTAAACTGATATATAAACACGGCTAAACACTCACGTATATACGTCCGGTGGCGGCACCGACTAGTTTCGAGCCATCGGGGGCCCTTCATCAGGATGAGTGGTACTGGTATTATTTCGCGGACGCGGCCCGTCGCTCACTGATATAGTTTATATATCAGAATTATTATAGTTGTTTGTAGATTCTAACAATTGAGTTTAACAACAAACTTTGTCTTGTGAACTTCATTTTTTGACACCTGAGTTCGCCGATATAGCGAAGCGTTCGCTACCCATAGACATTAGCAATTGCAGATTCTAGGCATCTCTTCCACTCATCCATACCTTGTAACTAAAATTCGGCCTCCGGCACGCATACTTGTTAGACGAATCGCGGCAGCATTTCGATTCACGTTCAAAACTTCATTCATAACATCTGCTAAAAGTTTTCAAACTCTGACCAAGTTAATCCAATAACATACTTTAAAAGTTATATTGTTTGGCTCATATTACATAGAGAATTATCATTATAATAAATATATAAACTTGTCGTGACTTTGTAAATTGTTTGTGCTCTTTGACATAAAATGTTGATAGAAAACGGCAATTTCCATCGCGTTTTCTTTAAAATGTTGTATGAATTAATATATAATTTAGAAACAAAAACAGTTACAAAGGATTATTAGATCTTGAGATAGTTACTATTCATTCAAACTGGCAACTTCGACAAGTTTTCAGTTGCTATATAGTTGAATTTTGGTTACCCAATGGTTATTTCTTGAATTTGAATTTTATTGACTAAATTACAGTGGTAATAAATATAAGTATAAAAAACTATCTGTCGTCCGAGACTTCCGGGGGGATTTAAAAAACTTTGTAGCATATGTGTTCTTCCAGACTATGTTCTACATGTACAGTTTCAGCGAGATTCATGTAGTTGTTCTAGAGATCTAACAAACATCCTTTCATCCGTACATCCAAACATTAGCTTTTGTATTAGTAAGAAAATTCAATAAAAACTTCAATATCACTTTTTACGTAGCTTCAATTTTTGAATTTGAGTTCAGTGATTTTTTTTTGAAAGAACATTGAATTGTATCCTTGCAATTTGACCTTGCTTTATAAACAGGTTTGGCATTTGCTTCGTATCTAAATGACATTATGATTTTAGGACAGGTTTCGATGTAAATTGTAATTGATAGTTATTAACATTTATCCATTGAAAGTATAAGCAAATAATCTAAGTTCAAAGGTCTGAAACACTCGATAGGGGACGCCCTCGCATAACACCAATCATTTACTTAGGTAATTTACCTAACTTTAAAAGCTGTGACTTTAAGAGTCAAGAGAACATAATCCTGGTTGTAAACGACATTGGGTTACTTCCCGATTACTGGCCAAACTTATTAGGATTGTAATGAATAAAAGACTATATACGAAAATAATAAAGAAATTGTAATATTGTTTGGTTGATTTGGATCGTATTTAGAATTAATGATGCATTTATAGCTTCGAGATGTGAATGCTCGCTAGTTCCGGGTTCCCTCTCTTTTAATATCAAGGCGTTTTTAAAATTTCACACTGTAAAGGCTGGTTAAGTAAGCTAAGTAAAGCAATTTTTAAGTTTACATCATCGTCGACGCCCAGCCTAGTTATGTTTCTCGCGTCCGACTATCGCCGGTTGTGCAATGCTACTTGCAGCAACTCAGACCCGACAAGTCTACCGACCGGTCGGCTTGACTTATTTAAGGACTTGTCCGCACTTTATATTACTAGTTATGCACCGTTTCAAACTCATTTCGTCAGCTCCTAAAGGTCTTTGTTTGCTTAAGACTAATGCAAAAATATTTGTTACAATCGTATCTGTAGTTTTAGAAATTAGTTTGCGTTCAGAGAAACTTTTATTGTATTGCGTAACAATAGACATGTCCATTTAAGGGTAGATACTGACGCCGTTGTGCCAACTGTATTATTTTATCCTAGTAGTAATAAATGTTACATTGTAAATTATCTATCGCCCGCGACTCCGTCCGCGCTGTATTAAAACAACTCAATTAGTAGCCTATGTGTTCTTCCAGACTATGTTCTAGATGTGTGCTAAATTTCATCAAAATCCGTGGAGTCGTTCCGGAGATATCTTTAAACAAATATCCATCCATTCAATCGTCCATCGAAACATTCGCATTTATAATATTAGAACGATTACACCTATTATTTTCAAGAAAAACAGCGGTTACATTTCAACACTTTAAAAAGACTTTATAATATGGTGGATGCATTTGCTTCTGCATTGGTGAATCCCCTTTGCCTTCGTTTACGCGAGTTTGCGCAAGGAAAATAATTGTTATGATTCATATTATAACCGAACAACCAAATGATTGAGGAATAAGTTCGTCATCGTTACAATGTTTTCGTTTTTTTTTTATCGCTGTTAATTTTACTTATCAAATCGTATGATATACTCGTACCTGTTTTTGCAATATTTTTTAATATACTCTTTGAATTTTGACTTATTTAATATGTAATGGTTACAATGTATAAACGAATACATTGTTTAAATGATATATTAACGTAAAACCCAAATATTGCGTAGTAAAAAGGAATTTTTCCAAACTCGTTATAATTAATATACATATATTGAAAGTTTTATTTTATTTCATATGACTAATAAGTTTTTCTTTTCTTTTCAGGACAAATTAGCAAAACCTAAAATACAGTTCCTACCCGGAAATGAAGGGGTGAGTTATTTTTATTATGTCGTTTAGAATTCATATACATATGTCAACAATTTATCGTTAACATAGAAAACGTTCCGAGCACTAATCTCTGTCTAGTTTTGGGTTTATTATTATTATTAATTATGTGTTTATGATAAATAAGACGGCGTTTAGAGAAAATCCTGATTTTGTTTTTAGTAACGTTTTGTATGTTTACAAAAGATACGTGTTTCTTATTCCTTATAAACTTGATATAAAAATCTAAATGCGAACACAAACCACATGTCAGTGAGTTTCAGTAGAAAAACTGTTGTAATGTAATTTAATAATGTTTTCATAAGAGTATATAAATCCTATTGAGTTAAAAGATTTCGACAGTATATACAGTCGAACCCGGATAAGCGAGAGTCCAAGGAACCTCGATATTTTTCTATTTTAAAAAGGCTTCCCTTTAACCCGACAGTCACGTTTATAGAAGCCCGTTGTAACCGGGCAATGACTCCGCCTATAAAGGTTTCTCCCTTATCCAGGTCTGACTGTATTACAAATATCAGTCACAACAAAACCTTGTAGCAAGGCCTCGTGCTCAAGTTAATATTGTTTTTAGAACTTCTAATAGTAAAAATAACCGTAGGAAGCCATATTGATTTGTGATTGTCCATAAATATTATACGGAAGAAGAGAAAGAATCGTAAATGACTTCATTTTGTGTAATGCACGTACGTGTTTTTAAAGGTTTCGATTACGCAAATCAGTTACTTTATCACTTCAAAGATGTTAACGTAATAGTATTGAGAAATTTAATTACTTAATCGAGTGACGTTTAAAATTTCATACATGTGTTTTTGTGCCTAACGATGATAGGTTGTTTGGTATTCAAGAGAGTGTCCGATTCAATGGTGCAATGGAAACAAGTAATAAAGAAAAAAAGTAAGGGACTCGTCGGCCCCAATTCACAAAGATCTATTCAATTTAGAAATCGATTTAGAAAATGTATACGTCACAATGATCGTCAACTTCAAGACTTTTGCAATTCGTTTCTGAGCAGACTTGAATGAATTACAATTGTCTAATTTGAGATTTAGGGTATATATGTTTAAAGTCGATTATGTATTGATGAAATGCTGATAGTTTTTTATTGTTTATACATATTATTGCGAGAAAATGAAGTATCTTAAGAGATGCAGAAAAGTACTCGTCCTGGTAGAAAATCGTTCTCGTTTATTCTTCTATAGGGGTAAAGTAGCTAGTAACAGGGCTGTCAAGATTGACTTGTCATATTTTGGAAATGACGTTGAATAGTTCTTTGTAGTGTTAATGATGAGTGCTACTGTGAGCTTCCTGTCAGTGTGGTTGTTTAGTATTGTAAAACATTGAGGTACGTGGCTCGAGGCGGTGCAGGCTCTCGGGCGGGCCTTGACTTGCTCGAACGTACCACTTCGCGGCACTCGATCGCTTGCGAAATTATTTGATGACCTACTTAGCCGATTTCGTTTCGCTCGACGTTTCACTATACACTTTTTTCCCTCTATTTCAAAAAGTTAGGTTACATAAGCTAGCGCCCGTTACTAATGTTCACATCCTATAAAACTGCATTTTGCAAATGTTACTTCTGGTCTAGTTTTCCTTTTTTATATTTTCGTTTACTTTTTCTTAAACTTGCCATAAATATTTGGAAGAACAATGAGATTATTTAATCACCTTTTGCATATAAATTTCCATGTATGTTTTATGAAGGCAAGTGAATGTAATTTTGTTTACAAGGCGATAATCCGCGGCAATCTCCTCGGCCGACGGGCGGCGCCTTCGACCGGTTTGCTTACAGCCACCTCGCGACTCCGCTCCGTGCCGGTTTGACGTGATGTCTTCTCGTACTGACCCCTCTCCCCTGTCCCCCGTCCCCTCGCCGGTGTCGAACAAAAGTGACTTTAATTATTTTTTGAACTTTATCTTCCAAACTTCTTGTATTTGAATGTAATCATCGTCAGCAATGTTGCCAACACATGTCACTTAACATGCCGCGTTTAAAACTAATCCAGGATTTGTTACCTAGTGATACCAAGTCGTGTATTACGGTAATATCTCGTCTATTAACACGTATTATGTTGAATTTCTTTGGTTCCTACATACTTCAAAGGAGACAAAGTCTTTGTTAAAAGTATCCGAGAAGATATATATATTTTTTGTAATTACTGATCGTCGAGTCTAATCTTGAGGGATTTTCTTGTAAACGCTTCAATATCGTAATTTAATTCTTGGAATATCTCGGTATCGGTGCGCCGTGGCCCGGTCGGCTGGCGTATGTCCAACTTGCACATAATAACCACAATTCAATGAGTCGCGGACAAGAATAGTAAATAAGATAGAAGTGGACGGTGTAAAAATAGCCACCGTTCCAGCCGGTGGCAAGAATACTATTGCACCTCCCAGGTGTGACAGCGAAGGACGTTGTCCCTTGCACTATAGCATTTAAAAGGTTCCGATGCATATAGCAGTAACCCAAAAAATTTCATTTTTCAGATAAGCTATAATATTAATAGATGTGTTCCTATATTAAGGCTTTACTCCATTTAAAATCATTTGAATAAGATCCTCAATTATTGGAGTTGCATAATTCGGAAAAATAAAACCGATGTTGATCAAATTCAAGTTACGACCTTATGCGTAGGGATCGGTTGATGTCATTTCTTACCGTTATTTCCTTATTATATTATCACACTTACGTGATCAATATTAAAGATGAGCTTTCACCCCGTCATTTTATCTTACGGCGAATTTTCCCTTCCGAATAATGTAGACATATTGACATCTCATCAGCTAACAATTAGACTGTGAAATTTATTCATAAACTCTGTATACATCTGTGCCCAATTTCATCAATATCCGTTGAGCCGTTCCGAAGATATCTTTAAACATACATCCATCCATAGAAACTAGCTGTCCTAAGCGACTCCCGTCGCATCGCATTAAAAAAATGTAATTAATAGCCTATGTGTTCTTCATGCTATGTTCTACATATATATCAAATTTCAGCTAGAACCATGCACCCGTTCCGGAGATACCTTCTAACAAACATCCATCCAAACATTCGCATTTATAATATTAGTTAGATCGGTAGGATGTATAAATGTGATACAGTGATAAGTGAACTTTCGAAGTCGTCGTATTATAAAAACGTAGTTACTCTAATGCAAGCTGAATACAATTTGATCAGTCCGGGTCGACGTCCTCGGGGTCGCTTTATTTATTTACACCATCGCTCGGGTCCGTTACTGCAAGCGAGAACAGGATTCGATGCATTGTATACGAACCAACTTATTACTTGCTCTTACGGACCTTTTAACGACTGCTTGTTACCATAAGGATTTTAATATAGCTTTATGTAAATCATTAACCCCTTTAAGGTCCTATAGCGTAGTTACGAGGATGTAAAACATTAAAACAAAAACGTCAAATTTACAGCAGTATTTTTTTTTAATAACAATGATTTTTAGCGTTTACTATGCTCTTTCCATATTTTATATGCGTGTTTGTAAAATTGTACACACAGGAAGTATCTACGTCATAGGTAGGCGTGTTTTTGACGAAGTGATTTATTATGATATACTAGCTGTCGCCGCGACTCCGTCCGTGCGGAATTAAAAGAAAACTATAGGTCGCAGCGTAATGCTATATATCCTAAAGCCTTCCTCTATAAATGGACTAAAAAAAAGATTTTTTCAAATCGGACCAATAGTATCTGAGATTAGCGTGTTTAAACAAACTTCCGCTTTATAATATTATGAGATACAAGAAAATTATGTTTATTACTTAAAAATAAAAGGAAATACAATACAATTAGTATGCCTGATAAAACTGTCTGATATCTTTCGCTAATACAGAATCAGAGACAAATTGTTAAGAGCAGTTTCTGAGATAGCTCGAACTATTGAATGGTCGGTCGATGTGTTCGATTTTGATTTGTTAATCTATCTCATTGTTCTATGAGCCGTTTGCGCGTGCATTTATAGAAAAAAAATGTAGTGTAGCCCCATTGTTGTAAGCGTTTTGTTCTTTATTATCACTTCATGTTTTTCATTTATTGAAAAAAAAAACGAACATGCTTTGGTTTTTATATTCACGATAGTTGGTGACGTTTTGCGTTGAACAAAGGTTTGCTTGTTCTAAACTTTTATCGAGCGATTTCGCGCACGGCCACGTGATCAAACAATGGTGTTTACAGCTGTGTCGGCCGAGCTCATGCCGTGTCTAATGGTCGCTATATTGATGGCTATAAACCACATATTTGGATATTTTAATTATTTTTGACAGCATAAATTAATTCTATTGTATTATAAAAGCACAAAAAAATAACATTTGGTGTTATCTTACTTCTTACTTATATTATAAATGCGAATGTATAGATGGATGGAAATTGGTTAAAAGGTTCTATGGATCTCGCAGAAAGTAAACATGTAGAACATAGTCTGGAAGAACACATAGGATACTAATTAAGTTTTTTTTTGTTACCGCGCGGACAGAGTCATGGGCGACAGCTAGTATGTTGTATAATTCTGTAGGTTTTATAAGACAAAGTTGAGCTATGATTACAAGATTTGAAAATAGGAAATATTGTTCTGCATCGCATTATGTTATTGTTCATATTTAGTTAAGAAGATATTTATTGCTAAGGCAATTGAAATTTTACCAGAACGTAATTAAGTTTAATTTATAACAGAAGTTTCCAAATTAAATCTAACTTTAGTATTATACTTAAACCGTGCATACTTTTATCAATGTATGTTTGTGTAAGAAATGGAAAAGGTTTGATTTTACGTCGTATATTGTTAACGCTTCACTACCTTCCAGGTTAATTCCCAACAAATCGTTTTATTCAAAAGACAGAGAGTTCATTTCGTCGTATACACGTCCACATACTGCGCGCCACACTCCCGTTGATGTGGTTACCGTATCATATATTGTTTTCAGCTTAAAATATCAATAAGGAAATCATTTACTTAATAGCAATGTACATTACTAGT